AGGCCTCATCTGGAATACTGTGTCCAGTTTTGGGCCCCACACTACAAGAAGGATGTGGAAAAATTGGAAAGAGTCTAGCAGAGGTCAACAAAAATGATTAGGGGTCTGGAGCACATGACTTATGAGGAGAGGCTGAGGGAACTGGGATTGTTTAGTCTGCAGAAGAGAAGAATGAGGGGGGGATTTGATAGCTGCTTTCAATGACCGGAAGGGGGATTCCAAAGAGTATGGAGCTCGGCTGTTCTCAGAGGTGGCAGATGACAGAACAAGGAGCAATGGTCTCAAGTTGCAGTGGGGGAGGGCTAGATTGGATATTAGGAAACACTATTTCACTAGGAGGGTGGTGAAGCACTGGAATGGTTCCCTAGGGAGGTGGTGGAATCTCCTTCCTTGGAGGTTTTTTAGGCCCGGCTTGACAAAGCCCTGGCTGGGATGATTTAGTTGGGAATTGGTCCTGCTTTGAGCAGGGGGTTGGACTAGATACCTCCTGAGGTCCCTTCCAACCCTGATATTCTATGATTCTATGAAAAGAACGAATGGGCTACAGAACGAAGATCCAGCATTTCTGTTCTCCTTGTCTCAGGATACACCAACAAGGGGACCAATGAATGGGAAAGTGGGACATTGTAAACCTGGCAAAGGAATTGCCTTTTCCACACAATACATAGCCAGCCTGTGGAACTCACTGCTACTGGATGTTGTGGGGGGTGAAGAAATTGGCAAGATCCAAGGATTGGACATTTCTGTGGGTGACAGGAATGAGACACGAACCTGTCAAAGAAGAGTGGGTGAAAATTCAAATGAACCTTCACTGAGGTTTCCTTGCCAGAGTCACCTGGTTCTTTAGGGGTCAGGGGTCAACTAGGAACCACTGAGCAATGGGGGTGAGTCTGATCCCGGCCGGCTCAGCTCCAGGAGTGAAGTTCAGATCCAGGGGACCCAGGTGGCTGTGCGGAAGGGGGAACCCGTAGGGTAACAATAATCCCAAGCCAGCACAAGAACAGTGTCACGCACATGAGACTTTTCCTCCAAGCTCAGTTTATTTTTTAACCCCAAAGGTAAAAAAGTAGCAACTTGCTGGGAGTTAATTAACAAGCCAGGCAAAGCTCCCAGCGGCTGAGCAGGCAGGCGAAGAATCGCCCCCCCTGAGCCTTCAGCGAGACCCTGGAATCTCGTATCGGTAATAGAAGATGGAGAACTGCAGGAAGCTCTCGAGGAGCGATGGGGACCTCTGCGAGACCCTCCGGAAGCCCATGCTCTCGTACAGCTGTTGGGCCGAGTACTGAACCATGGAAGTGTTCAGCACGACCGCACTGTACCCGCGTTCCTGGGCGAAGCGGATGACCGTCCTGCAGAGCGCCCTGCCTATGCCCCGGCCCCGGTGCTCCCTCCCCACAGACATACGCTTCAGTTCCAGGGCGCACCCCTTTTCCGAGGGGTCGTCCGGCAGGACGGCCCCCACCATGCCCACCACCACCCCCTCAGCCTCTGCCACCCAGAGACAAGAGTCTGCTGCCTCCAGGTAAGTTCTCCGGATGTCCAGTAGGTCGTTGCGAAGAGACTGCTGGACGTAATCGGTCCAGAGAGACCGGCTGCAAAACCAGCCACCGGTGAGAGCCAGCAGGAGAGCCAGGAGGGAGACCAGGAGGGACCCGGAGGCCGCGAGCACCGCCAGGAACAGGCCCAGGAAGTGCAGCTGGGCCTGGGGACACTTCAGCATGTAGATGAATGCAGCAGGAGCGTGCTCCATAACCCCATGGCTGAACATGGTGCGCACGGCCTCGTAGTCACCGTCCTCGTACTGCCGGATGCGGTACGGGGCCATGGTTCCGCTCAGCCCAGGCACCCTAGCGCAGAAAGAGTTTAAACCAGGGGAGCGGGTTGGAACATTCCTGATCCACCGGCCACTTCCCGCAGTGCCCCTGGCTTCTCGCTGCACTGGGCTCCCCCCACCCTCACTGACTCCTGGCAAACACCTGCCACGCCTCCACCCACCGCCCTGCCATCTCATCACCCCCACTCCCAGCTACCTCAGCACCCACCCATCAGCCCTGCCCTGCGAGAGGAGCACCAGGAACGGGTCGGGGACGGGGGGGGGACCATCTCTCCCAGGGGCTCAGGGTAGAGGGGGCTGGGGGGGGCAGGACAGGGGGCTTCACTAGGCGGACGCTGCCCCTTTAAACGCCAGCCCTAGCTGGCGACAGGCTGGCTATGGAGGTTCCATGCCCCACGCTCTCAGCAGCTCCCCAGACTAACGGGCTGCGATCCCATCTGGAAGGGGACGGCAGGTGTCTGTGAATCAGCCTCTCCCCCTCCCCCAGATCCACACCCAGAGCAGCTCGTACTGCAGTGATCCCGTCACCCTCGTCCCCTTGCCCAGCGCGGTACCTACCCAGCGGGAGAAGACAGCCGCTCTGCATCCGGGGCCCTTGCCCCACACTGCTGGGAACAAAAGACAATAACCATTGGCTGGGACCAAGCCCCCAGGAAGCTCCTCGACTCCATGGGGCACTTCCTGGATTCCCTATTCCTCCTCTGCTCTTTCGCCTTCCCCAGCAAGGAGCAGGGCAGGGGGCCCAGCCCTGGGATGGGAGGGGAACCCTGGGCAGCAGGAGGGGTTGGGAGACCCCAGACGGGGCAGGTGTCAGCTGGATAGAGAGGAACGAAGGGGTGGGACGGAAGGGGTGGGAGCCCCGGCGCTTGGGACATAGAACAAGGCACAATGGCCCATGCTGCCCGGGACGGCCCAGACTCGCTTACCCTGCCTGTCACTGCCAGCTACACAGCCGGGGCCTCCCGTCCTCCCTGGGCATTGGCCAACAGCCCTCAGTGCGTCCAGCTCCGTGCACCATGGCAGGCACACAGCTTGGGGATTGTTTTAAGGCACGAACGGCCATAATCCCCCTGCACAGCCACGTCGCCAGGCCCCCGGAGCGTTCATGGGGCAGTTTGATTTGTCTCCCCCAGCCAGTGATCACAACGAACAGAAAAACATTCGGGAAATTCTCCCCG